ATCTTCACCTCCTCCTTCAGTAGGTACGGCCGTCTTAGGTGTGTGGGGTGTTGAAGGTGGAGTGTGTAGGTGACAGGTGTGGGTGGTGAAGGTAGTGGTGAGCTGACAGGTGTGGTGGTGGTATAGGTCGACAGGTATGGTAAGACAGACACATGAGACACTAAGAAGAAATGAGTTGCTCTCTAGCCACGACGATCATGAGGAGGTGGAGGAATACCTGTCATAGATTGGGGTATATATTTTAGTGACTGCATCAGGGCGGTGGGTGGGGTGGGGTGGGGTGGGGTGGGGTGGGGGTGGGTGGGGTGGTGGGGTAAGGGGTGGGGGTGGGGGCTGGGTGGGGTGCTGTGTGGGCGGTGGGGTGGGCCGGGTGGGTGCTGGGGTGGGTGGGCCGGGTGGGGTGGGCTGGGGTGGGGTGGGGTGGGTGCTGTGGGTAGTGGTGGGGTGGGTGAAAGTGAGGACTGTATCGCTGCTGGGCTAGGGCGTCTCACAGCCCTTGGTGTTGACACACTGGTAGTATATAGCTCTATTATGGTCGTCCACGCCCCCAACCCCCACTACCAACACCACCACTACTACCACCACCACCACCACCACTACCCCAATCATCATCATCTTATCGCGTATAATGATCCCACTGTCTGAGAATTATGATTATTTTCATTATTATTATTATTATCATTATTATTATTATTATTATTATTATTAATTATGATCATTATTCCTTATTGTTATACCGTTAACATCATCTCATCACAATATATATCTACCTCATCTTAATTACACTTTATTTCCTATTTCATTTTTTCCCTTAAGTGTTTTTCTCTCTCTCTCTCTCTCTTCCTCCTTCTAAAAACACTTGCATTGTCGGCTTTTTCTCCTCTTCTGCCCCCATGCATTCTCTCTCCCTTCCCCCACCAACTGTTGCATATTCTTCTTTTCTTATCTCCTACAACGCGATTCTTATCATGTTATTAATTAATTATCTCTCCCTCCACCTATTCTTCCTCTAATCTCTTTCCTCCTTCCTCTCTCATTTTCATCTCGATATTGTAGGTTACCGCCTCTCTCTCTCATCCACCTACCACGCAATCTCCTTCCCTTTTTTCCTTTCCCATGTCCAAATCGTCCTCCTCCTCATCTCCATTCCTCCATCTTATACCTCCCTCTCCCTTCATTCCACTTTCCTGTCATTCCTATTTCCTCCCTTCCCACAACACGACCTCTTCCAACCTCCCCATTCCACTCCTATCCTTAGACCCCCAATCCTCCACCCCATCCCACCCCTTCCTCACTCACCCATCAGTTCATCTCACCCCTTACCCCCTTTACCCTTAAAACTACCAACCCCTCCCACTCCACCCAACCCCTCCCTCTCCTTCCCCTCCCCACCTCCCCCTCCCTAGCGGTACGGGTCACAACGCCACAATGATCACATGACAACACGTACAAGACCTGACAATAGAAACGTCACTAATTAATGTGCGTCTTGTGATACCATCAGCGGGGCCCTGAGACCGTCACTCTCCGTCAAGCTCCGGTATTTGACGTCAATATTTAGGGGCCCAGGTATTTTAATCCCTCATTTACTTCATTATCTGATTCACCGGCGATGAGAGGGTTAAATATTTTGCCAGGTGTGTGTGTGTGTGTGTGTGTGTGTGTGTGTGTGTGTGTGTGTGTGTGTGTGTGTGTGTTTTAAGAAAGCTGCTAAGCAAATACCAAAATTTAATTCTATATCCTAAGTGCATACACCCACATACACCTTACACTCCAATTAACTCACCACTCACACCCTCCTATACCCACTAATTGCCCTCCTACACCCCTCCTACACTCCACCACCACACCCACCCCGGTCATTACGCTCAGATAACATTCCTGAACAATGTCAACACAAGATTTAATGAACACGTCGTGGGGGTTCAACCAGTGTTTTTCTGACACTTACTAAGCACGAAGGCCACTCAGCCCTCCTCCTCCTCCCTCCTCCTCCCTCCCTCCTCCCTCCTTCTTTTCCCTTCCTTCCTTCTGTTTCTGTTGTTTCCTCCTCTCCTTCCTCCTCCTTCCTTCCTTTCTCCATCTCTTCCCCTTATTCCCAAAACCCCTTTCCTTCCTCCTCCCTCCTTCCTTCCTTCCTTCCTTCTCTAAACCCCTTAATCGCTACAGTTAAGCTAACCGGTTGTGACGCATTACCTCCCTGACACCGTATTATATCGACCAATATGCCACACTCCTTCACGCCACCTCCTCCTCCTCAGTCCCTCAATAGTAAGGAGGAGGAGGAGGGGGGGGGGAGGGGAGGCGTGTAGTGACCCACAACACACGCCAGTAACCACGCCACCTACCCACCCCTCACGTCCACACTAACTTGTCTCTCTCTACGACAGTCCAGAGTGGGTTCCCGAGGCTTAGAACGCCAGCAGTCTTCATAACACCTTAAGTGGTGTATCCAGACTCCAACATGTGTAGCTAGTGAATGTATCAACTTCCTCTTCCTCAGCTCTCTTTCCCCTCATGTCCTCCTCTTCCTCCCCTCATATCCCCCTCTTCCCCTGAACCCCTCCCTCCTCACCCTCTGGAAAGCGGAAGTAAATTTGTTTTTTCCTTAAACAATAAATTTTACCTGATAACATGTGTCTCACCTTATCTCCTCTCATTTTCCCTGAGGATGGAGCTGACTGCGGCGATAGAGGAGGTGTGGTTGGTGTGGTGGTGTGGTGTGGTGTGGTGTGGTGTGTGGCAGAAAATACATATAAACACCCACAGAGAGGCTCCCTCCCACACACACACACACACACACGCACGCACACACGCACACACACACACACACACACACACACACACACACACACACACACACACGAAACAGATAAATAATTAAATAAAAAAAAACATGAGACAACACCACCGTCCTCTTGAGTCTCGACAAGAATTCTGATCACCAGAAAAACTTGGGCTTCAACCCTGCCACTGTCGACCCTGGCCAGGCTTCCGGTAACCCCGCCACCCCTGCCACCATCACCCTGCCACCACCACCCTGCCACCATCACCCTGCCACCATCACTACTGCACCACCATCGCCACACCAGAATGTACATGAAGACACAGGTCACAGTACCCTATACTGACAACAAGATCGCCAGTTTCCTCCAAATTCTTTCATAATATTTTTTAACAGCGAATTCCGGGTTTTGAGAGAGAGAGAGAGAGAGAGAGAGAGAGAGAGAGAGAGAGAGAGAGAGAGAGAGAGAGAGAGAGAGAGAGAGAGAGAGAGATATTCTAAAACATCCATAACCAAATCTTGTATGACGTCACGGCGGAGGCGAGGAGGAAAATGTTCGATAATAAACCATACGTGAACAATGATCCTGACAGAGGCGGCGTCACCAACTTGTGAGTCAGGGCACAAGAACTTACCAGAAGAAGATATTCGCGGTGATTCGTCGTGGTTTGAAGATTTACAGAATTGTCGAGTGTTGGAAACTCACGTCCGTCGAGGGAGTAAAATACAAAATCTATTTCCTCTCTCCGGCTGAATACATTCGGGAGTGTCGCCAATTATAGATAATGTCATTTGAACATGAACAGCGCAGTGTACGACAGGTAATAAAACATGAGCAAACGCAACTATACGATACGACGGTTGAGTGGATACAGAACTCATCTCCCGTCCTAAGGGTAGCTGGTTCGCATCCCAGGATATCCCCAGTGCACCCAGCTCCTTTACAGTTTAGGCGGCCGTGAGCAGTGCCGACAACACTGTTTCCTCGTGCACCGAAGACTTACTATGCAGTGGAGCAAACACTGAACACAATTACGACATTATCAAGTGAAGTTAAATCCTGGTCAGTGCACAACCGGAACACCATCAAAATCACAGTGGACTCTTAATAAAGCTGAAAACTGGCCAGTGATTCAGAGCAGCCTGATGAGTCAATGTGCATGTGTGTGTGTGTATATATGTGTATATGTGTGTGTATAACAACACGGACACCTGCCACATGAAGCAAGAGGCGAGGGCTGTACACTTAAACATACTACAAAAAACAAAACATTTAAAATACCTCATTTCTACAAAATTTCATCTAAAAACATAAAACAGTAAAGAAATAAACAAAAATATTAAAAGTTTATAAACGAAGAGCAAAATATCTCAGTTTACTGATGAGCCAAAGTCTTCAACACAGTTATATTCAGTTTCTTCAGGTAAACCTACAAGAAACACTGTAATGATAAGTTATTTTCACTACAAAAGACACGTATCTTCCTCAGTGCAAGTTTTTCATTATACACAAAAACCTCCGTAGTAATACATCTTGATCAGAAAAATCACAAAAAAAAATTGGGACTGTATAAAAACATAACATCCTTTCAAGAGACGTATGTTGGTCCACTTGTCGTATGAATGTTGTAAAGAAGAAGTAAAGTGACTCATACCCCGAGTCTTAGGTGTGGTTATGTGGGTTTAAGTGACTCATACCCCGAGTCTTAGGTGTGGTTATGTGGGTTTAAGTGACTCACGAGTCTTAGGTGTGGTTATGTGGTTAGTGATACCCTGAGTCTTAGTGTGGTTATGTGGGTTTAGTGATTCATACCCGAGTCTTAGGTGTGGTTATGTGGGTTTAAGTGATTCATACCCCGAGTCTTAGGTGTGGTTATGTGGGTTTAAGTGATTCATACCCCGAGTCTTAGGTGTGGTTATGTGGGTTTAAGTGACTCATACCCCGAGTCTTAGGTGTGGTTATGTGGGTTTAAGTGACTCATACCCCGAGTCTTAGGTGTGGTTATGTGGGTTTAAGTGACTCATACCCCGAGTCTTAGGTGTGGTTATGTGGGTTTAAGTGACTCATACCCCGAGTCTTAGGTGTGGTTATGTGGGTTTATGATTCATACCCCGAGTCTTAGGTGTGGTTATGTGGGTTTAAGTGATTCATACCCCGAGTCTTAGGTGTGGTTATGTGGGTTTAAGTGACTCATACCCCGAGTCTTAGGTGTGGTTATGTGGGTTTAATGATGACAAAACAAAGTATCAACAAAGGGAAACAAATTCGGACACAGCCAGAGGCGAGGCGAGGTGAGGTGTGACACAGGAGAGAAGGGTTCCAGGTGAGGTGGACACAGGAGCCTGGGGGGTTCCTGGTGAGGTGTGACACAGGAGCCTGGGGGTTCCTGTGAGGTGTGACACAGGAGAGAAGGGTTCCAGGTGAGGTGACACAGAGAGAAGGGTCCGTGAGGTGTGACACAGGAGAGAAGGGTTCCAGGTGAGGTGACACAGGAGAGAAGGGTTCCTGGAGGTACAGGAGCCTGGGGGTGTCTCGGAGGTGTGACACAGAGCCTGGGGGGTTCCCAGGAGGTGTGACACAGGAGCCTGGGGTGTTCCTGGGAGGTGTGACAGGAGCCTGGGGGGTCCCTGGTGAGGTGTGACACAGGAGCCTGGGGGTTCCTGGTGAGGTGTGACACAGGAGCCTGGGGGGTTCCCTGGAGAGGTGTGACACAGGAGCCTGGGGGGTTCCTGGTGAGGTGTGACACAGGAGCCTGGGGTGTTCCTGGTGAGGTGACACAGGAGCCTGGGGGTTCCTGGTGAGGTGTGACACAGGAGCCTGGGGGTGTTCCCGGAGGTGTGACACAGGAGAGGGGGTCCAGGTGAGGTGTGACACAGGAGAGAAGGGTTCCTGGTGAGGTGTGACAGGAGCCTGGGGGTGTTCCTGGTGAGGTGTGACACAGGAGCCTGGGGGTTCCCGGAGGTGTGACACAGGAGCCTGGGGGTGTTCCTGGGAGGTGTGACACAGGAGCCTGGGGGTTCCTGGTGAGGTGTGACACAGGAGCCTGGGGGGTTCCTGGAGGTGTGACACAGGAGCCTGGGGTGTTCCCGGAGGTGTGACACAGGAGCCTGGGGGGTTCTGGGAGGTGTGACACAGGAGCCTGGGGTGTTCCGGGTGTGCAGCCGGGGGTTCCTGGTGAGGTGTGACACAGGAGAGAGGGGTTCCTGGTGAGGTGTGACACAGGAGAGAGGGGTTCCAGGTGAGGTGTGACACAGGAAAGGGGTCCTTGGTGAGGTGTGTGACACAGGAGCCTGGGGGTTCCTGGTGAGGTGTGACACAGGAGAGGGTTCAGAAAAACACAGGAAAGAGGGGCCCCAGGTGAGGTGTGACACAGGAAGGGGGTTCCTGGTGAGGTGTGACACACAGGAAAGGGGTCCTGGTGAGGTGTGACACAGGAGGGGGGGTTCCTGGTGAGAGGTGTGACACAGGAGAGAGGGGTTCCAGGTGAGGTGTGACACAGGAGCCTGAGGGGGTTCCTGGTGAGGTGTGTCACAGGAAAGAGGGGTTCCTGGTAAGGTGTGACACAGGAGAGAAGGGTTCCTGGTGAGGTGTGTCACAGGAAAGAGGAGTTCCTGGTGAGGTGTGACACAGGAAAGAGGGGTTCCTGGTAAGGTGTGACACAGGAGGGAGGGGTTCCTGGTAAGGTGTGACACAGGAGAGAAGGGTTCCTGGTAAGGTGTGTCACAGGAAAGAGGAGTTCCTGGTAAGGTGTGACACAGGAAAGAGGGGTTCCTGGTAAGGTGTGACACAGGAGGGAGGGGTTCCTGGTAAGGTGTGACACAGGAGGGAGGGAGGAATGCTGCTACGGACTTTTAAAAAAAAATATACCGTCTGGAAAATATTCATGGTCGTAAACGTTATTTATTACAGGAGATAAAGATCACTTTTACACGTTGAAGAGACCTCGGCACGGCAGACGACCCGGGCACAGCTTCCAGCATCACGACCCCTCCATTACACACCTGTCCGGGGTCGTCATCTGCCGGGGTCGTCAACTAGCTAGGGGGGGGGGGATATTACCTGAGTAGGGTCGTCAGGTCCTCAGGTATTTGAGATTGTGTACTGACAAGCTTTCTGACTGTACGACCTTGGCAGAGGGACACATCCTAGGTAAAGAAGCCAAGAGTAACGACGAACACCTGCAGACACGACGGAGGGAAAGCAAGAGGGAAAAGGAATGTAGAGGAAGGGAGGGGGGAGGTAGAGAAAGGGGAGGGGAAGGTAGAGGAAGGGAGGGGGGAAGGTAGAGGAAAAGAGGAAGATAGAGGAAGGTAGGATGGGGAAAGGAATAGGAAGGTAGAGGAAGGAGGGGAAGGTAGAGGAAGGAAGAGGAAGATAGAGGAAGGTAGAGGAAGGGAGGGGGAGGTAGAGGAAAAGAGGAAGATAGAGGAAGGGATGGGGAAGGTAGAGGGAAGGTAGAGGAAGGTAGAGGAAGGTAGAGGGAGGGAGGGGGAAGGTAGAGGAAGGGATGGGGAAGGTAGAGGAAGGGAGGCGCTACTTGAGGAGGAAAGACCAGCTACTTGAGGAGGAAGACGATAGATCACCTAAATTGTTTTATATTTTTTTACCTTAATTACCAATCCTAACCATCAAAATAAAACACCTGTCATTTGTCCATCACACACACACTGTACGCTGAACATAACGCACACGTGTAAAGCTGCTTAACAAAGTCATCTCGAACGGTCCAATAGTAATGGAGGGCACGAAATAGCTCCTGTTTGACCTCTGACCCCTGTGTGACCTCCGGCCCCAGTGTGACCTCCGACACCATGTTTGACCTCCGACACCGTTTGACCTCTGACACCCTGTGTGACCTCCGACACCTTGTGTGACCTCCAACTTGTGTGACCTTGATATCACCATAAACGGATGCGGTTCCTTAAAACATCCATATTGACACAAGACTCACGATCCGGATGAGGAAAACTTTACGGATACCAAAGACACATGGCCGAATCTATACCACAACACGTCCGGTTTCACACACACACACACACAAAAGGGGGTGAATTAAGCGAGTGGGTGAACGTGTGGGCGTGGCCGCGGACCATCAATCAGGATTCCGTGATGAACCTGCAGGTCGGCTCCCTCGGTGATGACGATGATGATGATACCGTGAAATGATTTACCCTCAACCAGAGAGTTTGCCGCCGCCGCTTGCTGATGGGAAACACAAGTACAATAAGCTTCCTGAATACAGAGAGAGAGGCAACACCCGAACACTAAACAGGGGGAAATTATTATGGTGAACTTGGGTGTAGAATATTGTGTGGAGTTCTTTCATTTGTAGTTGGTGGTGTGGCCGCTCTCGTTGTGCGCCGTTTACTGCGATAGGTCAGGAACCCTCGCCGTTACCACCGTTAGTCTGGGAGAGGGTCGTAGGCGAGGGTCGTAGGAAAGGTGATGGTAGTGCTGGTGGTATGGGTAGTGGTGGTGGTTATTGGGGCAGTCAGGTGGTGGTAAGATGGTGTTGGTGGCAGTATTGATGGTAATGGTGGTAGTGGTGATGGTGATGATAACGGTGGTGATCGTGGTAGTAGTGATGGTGGTGATCGTGGTAGTAGTGATGGTGGTCGTAGTGGTGATAGTGGTGGTGGTGGTAGTGGGTCGTCACGTGGGAGCCCTGCACGACCGACCACACACTCCGTAAGTCAGCAAGGAGAGCCACGCCCCCCAGGTGATGTGTTCCTGAGACCTGATCGTGAGCAGCCACACACACACACACACACACACACACACACACACACACACACACACGACCCAGTTAGTCACCACTGTAAATAAAATATATATATCTATAAATATTCTCTCGACCCCTAAAAACGTCCATCTAAAAACCGGTTACTGTATTTACCCAACAACTGGTTTTTTGCTCCACAACATCACCTGACACGAAGAACAGGACGTCTCTTACGCTAGGTCAGTTACACAGGTCAAGGTATACTCTCTCTCTCTCAAAAAATCCCTTTACTTTCTCTCAATTAACGCAATGTCTACCTTTCATGACCTGACGGATAGATTCTTTACCAGATAGGGAGGATATCTTTTGTCTCTCTCCTCAAACGCTATTTAATTAAACTAATGACTAATTCATATAGTAACCCTCTTTAATTACCACAATTAACTACCTCACAAAGACACATACAAATAACTAAAAAAAAATAATAATAATAATTTAAAAATGTAAAGGTGAGGAAATGACTTCTTCTCTGGTTGCTCTTCTTGGTGTTCTCTCTCTATTCCAGGCACGAGTCATAGTGGGCGAAGGAGCAGCGTCGACCGGATAACCCCTACAGTGTCCTCCCTTAATCTCTACTCGTATGCTTTAGTAAACACCCATTAACACTCTGGTCCACGGCTGATTATATTGAGTGTAAGTTATGACAGGTGTGGGGAGGTGGGGGGGGGAGAGGTAGGTGGGGGGCAGGGCAGGTGGAGGCAGGGTTATGTGGGGGCAGGGCAGGTGGGGTCAAGGTATAGGTGAGCCGGCACTACAATTGGCTGGGATTGTTGTATATATTGTGTTGTGAGTTTCCTGTTCACGTCCATATTGAGTCATTAGTCCTTGTACCGCTCATGTATGACTCTTAGGTTGTAATAATAATAATAATAATAATAATAATAATAATAATAATAATAATAATAATAATAATAATAATAATTTCAATCACATATGAAATTACATCAATCACCTGACTACGAGCCCTTAGCGTATGCCCTTTGATTCCAACACTATACCATCACACTATACCATCACACTATACCATCACACTATACCATCACACTATACCACCACACTATACCACCACACTATACCATCACACTATACCATCACACTATACCACCACACTATACCACCACACTATACCGGCCTGGTATTGTACTCCGACGTGACCATCTTACTCATGTTACCTGCAGATCACTATGGTGCTGTGCCTCTAAACGCATGGACGGGTTAATGATTCTGTAGCCGTGTGAGACTACAGGTGTGACACGTCTGAAACCATGTACAGTATAGACGACAAACTCCTCCAGGCGACACTACTACAGCAGCCTCTGTACCCCGCTGTACCTAGCTGTAAGAGAACACCATTACAGCAGCCTCTGTAGCTCGCTGTACCCCTCAGTGAATATCTTCCCTGTACGGTCGTAAAAGTCATTTACAAAGCGCACTCCCACGCGGTAATCACTATAAAATATCGCGTCACACTACCATGCCGTGATAATAATTTGTTAATGTGTAATTACACGCATGGACGCATAGTTCTCTTCCCCTCGCATTTATGATCCGTGGTTGCGCATGCGTCGGTCTGGGAAGTGCTCAACCTCGCCTTTCATCCTTTCCGGTGAAGCCTGTCGCATGTGCACCATGTGTGTGGTGTGTGTGTGTGTGGTGTGTGTGTGTGTGTGTGTGTGTGTGTGGGGGTGTGTGTGTGTGTGGTGTGTAGTGTGGTGTGTGTGTGTGTGTGTGTGGTGTGTGTGTGTGTGTGCACGCTGACAAAGGTTATCACCTAACCCCTGCCAACGCCCTTATCAATACCCTCGACATACCATTATTGTGTACGGAACTCTTTTGACTAGTACACAGGGTCAACAGCCTGTACACTGAATGAAAAATGCCATGTCAGTCGAAAGGTTGTATACACACACACACACACACACACACACACACACACACACACACACACACACACACACACACACACACACACACACACACAGAGGTCATAACTAACACCTCCACACCGACTGAGTATTCAGGAGAGAGAGAGAGAGAGAGAGAGAGAAAGACGTTACCTTTCACCATTATTCCATCATTAGTGTCCCAAAACTTATTAAATATATACTGAACAAAGAGTTAGTAATTCACGTGTATATGACCCAACCCGTGGAAGTAACTTGGTTATTTAGACCAAGGATATAATTAGAAGTCATAGTAGTCAAAGGGTTGGCATCGTACTCAAGGGGTTAAATAAAGTCACTCTTGTTTTCCCATGGTTAGGTATTAAACAACCAATCAAATAAGCCCAAATTGTAATTGTTTCTTGCTAGCGGACTTCGTATTGGTTCCTCTATGCCTGATAATCACAACAAAACTCTCACGGGAAATGAGAACCACTGTACTGTATCACCTGGTCATGACGGGACTAAATTTCACTCTATATCTTCAGTTTTCTTTCTCCAGGTAGAGCAAGAACCTGTGACGTCATACCGTTCGTTGCGATTCGCCACTGTGATTGGCCAAGAGAGGGGAAAAG